TAGGTGTCTCTTCTGGTGGGAGCGAAATACAAGCTGCCCCCATACAGGTCAACATGCGGAGAACCTTTGCTGGGCTGGCACCAGCAAACAGGAAAGCTGCAGAGAGCAGCAGATTTCCTGCAGGTGTTGCACCCAGCCATGGCTGGGAACTCCAGGTCGTTCCCTTGGACTTGCAGGCCCCTCATCGCTGAAAAACAGAAACGAAAGTCCCCACAGTTCGTTTTATCAGACTGGTCTTCCGTGAACCGCACTTGAAACACTTCCTGAAAAGTTAAAAGAGCTCCCCCTCGAACTCAGTGTACTTTGCATGATCTTGAGGAAGAACATCCGGTGATATTGGAACGGTCCATGGACTTTTCCCCCTTCTGTTTACAAAAGATCAATGGCATTTGGATAAACCAAGGTGATACCACAGTGAGTGTAGGAATGAAAAGTATTTTCTACTCTGCGATGAGAGAAGGTTAATTTTAAATAAAAACATTTCGCTTTGTTTCTGTTGTAACGTTATAAAATGAATTCTCATTTCATATACAGCATCTATCGTACTTACTTTTTGAATGACCGGGTGCGACAAGGTTCTGAAGATGATGACGAAGATGATGATGAGGATGGTTCATAGTCGGAGGAATCATCACGCTCTTGTTCTTCTTCTAACTCTTCCTCTTCTAATTCTTCAACTTCATTGTCTTGTACCTCCTCGACTTCTGCATCATCAAGCAGCTTGCATTGTATTCCAGTTTCGCTGACTTCGGGAACAGCTTGTATTCTGGCATCGGTATCTATCAGATAAATTGTATAAATTTGTTGTTTATCATGAACTGTGACGAGAACAAGAGAACCGATTAAGAAGAAAAAAATGTCATTTATAAATTAATATGATAACAAAAATAGACATTTCAAATGCATTTTGATACTTACGTATATCGCAACAAAGAATTTTCACTGGATCAGTCTGACAAGCAGCATCCACATTCTGTACATGTAAAAGAACAAAATGAAGGTTATTTTAAAAATATTTCCAGAGAGAAAAATTGAAAGAACAATACCCATTTGTTCCTCTTGAATGTTCAACAATAGTTGAAGGGAGCAAGTGATTGTGATGGACTTACCGACACAACTGGAATCATGCCACTAGCACTCGCAGTACACTCTGGGTCTGGGCGGCCTCGACAGAGCGCGCCGGAAGGAGGCCAGGCATGCAGGCAGGCAGGGCAGGCCAAAAGAGAAAAAGGGGACGCCCAGCCCCGCCAGTGGGGACGGAGTGCTGCAAGCCCCGTTTCAGATCTCCTAGTGGACTGCCGGAGAGGGAGCGGGGGCCCAGCGCCGAGAGAGAGAGAAGAGAGCCTGCGCGGACGGGCTGCGGAGGGGCCCCCTTCCTGGCAGCCGCCAAGGCGCCGGGCAGGCCTCCGATAGGTGAGAGAGAGAGAGAGGCAGAGGCCTATTGCGAACCCATCGACCTCAGGTCGGGCAAGAAGACCCACTCCATTTAAGCATATCACTAAGCGGAGGAAAGGAAACTAACCAGGACTCCCCCAGTAGCGGCTAGCGAAGCGGGAAGAGCCCAGCGCGAAATCCCCGGGCCCCTAGCGGGCCCACGGGAACTGTGGCGTAGGGAAGTCCGGTCCGGCTGTCGCGGCGGTGCCGAGGTCCCTCTCATCGAGGCCCCCTTCCCTCCCGTGGCGGGTGTCAGGCCCCTGCAAGCGCCGTCCGGCCGGTGAACAGGGCTTCCAGGAGTCGGGTTGTTTTTTAGCTCAGCACAAAGGCGGGTGGTAAACTCCATCCAAGGCTAAGTACCGTGAGGGAAAGTTGAAAAGCACTCTGAAGAGATTTCAAGAGTACGTGAAGCCGTCGAGAAGCAAGCGGGAGGGCTGCGCAAATCGGGCCGGGGAGATTCAGCGCGGCCGGCGCGGTGTCCGCCGCGGCCCCGCATCCCCCTAGCCGGCTGGCGGGGCCCGGGGGCGCCCCTGGTGCACTGCCGCCCTGCTGCCACCCCCCCGGGGGTGCGGCTGAGGAAAAGATGGTGAACTATGCCCGAGCAGGACCAAGCCAGAGGAAACTCTGGTGGAGGTCCGCAGCGATTCTGACCTGCAAATCGATCGTCCGACTTGGGTATAGCGGCGAAAGACTAATCGAACCGTTTAGTTGCTTGTTCCCTCCGACGTTTCCTCAGGATAGCTGGCGCCCGGGAAAGAGAGAGAGAGAGAGAGAGCAGTTGCATCCGGTAAGCGAATGATTAGAGACCTTGGGACTGAAATCACCTCAACCGATTCTCAAACTCAAAATTGATGCGGGGCCCGACCCGCCGGCTCGGGGCCGGGCCCTCAATGCACGGGCGCCAAGTGGGCCATTCTTAGTAAGCAGGACTGGCGCTGCAGGATGAACCAAACGCCGGGTTAGGGCGCTGCCTTGCGGCCGACGCTCATCAGAGCCCAGAAAAGGCGTTGGTTGATACAGACAGCAGGACGGTGGCCATGGAAGTCGGAATCCGCCAAGGAGTGTGAAACAACTCACCTGCCGAATCAACTAGCCCTGAAACTGGATGGCGCTGAGCGTGCTGCCCACACCCGGACGTCGGGGCAGAGAGCGAGGGGGACCGCCGCCCTGGTGGTACGCCCCGACGAGTAGGACGGCCGCCGCGGTGCGCGTCGAAGCACCGGCTGCGAGGCCGCGGGGCCGCGGGGCCGCGGGGCCGCGTGGAGCCGCCGTGGGCGCAAATCTTGATTGTAGTAGCAAATATTCGAGTGAGATCCTCGAGGGTTGAGTGGCGGAGAAGGGTTCCATGTGAACAGCAGTTGTACATGGGTCAGTCGATCCTAAGCCTCAGGGAAAATCCTCCCCGAGCGGAGACGGGCGCCCTCCTCCTCGCAGGGCCGGGGCCTCGCCCCCCGTGCGAAAGGGAATCGGGTCAATATTTCTGAACCCGCATGGGGAGCCCTTCGTCCTCCACGGCGGTCCGAACTGCGAAGCGAGCCCGCAGACGCCGGCCTTGGCCCCGGGAAGAGTTTTCTTTTCTTGGTAAGGGGCGGGATCCCTGAAATTGGCTTGTCCGGAGCTAGGGGCTGCGGCCCCGCAGAGCGCCGCGTCTCCAGCGGCGTCTTGCGAGCTCCAGCCGACCCTTGAAAATGCGGGGGAGTGCGTGGACCGTCGCCTCGGGTAGTACCCAAAGCTGCAGCCGGTCTCCAAGGTGAACAGCCTCTGGTCGATAGAACAATTTAGGTAAGGGAATTCGGCAACCCGGATCCATATCTTCGTGAGAAGGATTAGCTCTGAGGGCTGGGTCGGTCGGGCCGGGGCTGGAAGCGGGTCGCGGCGCCCCATGTCCGCGCCATGTCCGAGCGGCGGCACTCCCTCCCCCCGCCGGACCGCGGGCAAGCCACCCTCCGTCCCCTCCGCCGCCTACCCCGTCAAAGGGGTGCG